TGGAGTCCACTTTCATGCTTCGCAACTTCAGCTGTTACCTCTGGGAGGGCCATCGCATGCAAAACATTGCTTTGGCGCCCCTCAAACAGAAACATCAATTGTTTGTAACACACACGCCATACAGGAAGGCTGTAGCCCAAAGGCCTGTAAGGGTGGAGTGGGATGAGGTTGGAACTCTGACATCTATTTTACAAAAGGGTCCTTTGCAGCATCTTTCAACAGTGATCTTCAAAACACCTTCTCAATATGGGAGTGACCAAGAAAAATCCTCCTGGAGTAACACAAAAGACAGTTTGGGGAAGTACAAGGAGGAGATGAAGGTCATCTTCTCAGGGAAGATGAGTAATGAGTAGCTTCATGGAGGGACATGGCATTGAGAAGGCACGGTTTAGGATAACCTAAGATTTTTACAGATTTCTCTAATGCCACTTGTGCTGTAGTCATACTAAGTCATCTGCCATTAGGAACCGAGGGTCCAAGTTCCCAGCCTCAGCTACTCTGTCGATTTATGGGACCTTCTAGTGCATGTTTTTTTTTTTTTTTCCTTTCTTGAGCATTGGTTGTCTTGATGCAAAATGGGCTAATAAACACCTCGTCTGTTTCATCAGGGCTGTTTTGAGGGTCACAGGTGATAACTGCGTAATGGAGTCCTTTAAAAATAATGGCACAACTGACATTTTGGGTGGTGGGGTGCGCAGTGGTCAGGGTACTTATCTCAGGTGCTCTTCCCCACATGTACTTGAGCCACCTTTCATTCTTATGTAACGAACTTCAGTGGCAATAAAAACTGAATGTTTAGAGAGGAGAGAGTAAGCACCAGCCTTCAGAGGCACTTGAAAGAGTAAGTGCCAAGTTAGGAATTGAAGCAGGCTGGTCTTCCCAGGATAGTATATAGTATTCATGACTGTGTTGAGGCATAATTATTATTGAGCTTGCCTCTCTTCCCATCAGCTCTCATTCAGTGAGTACCTCCACATGCACGTCACATCCCTTCCTAATGAAGGACTGTGGCAAGGCACATTATTTATTTTTCAGCAGCTCTCACTTAATATTTTGCTCAGGTGTCTGGCTTTCCTGCTGGTCTTTTGCAATAGCAGGGGAAGGTCAGAAGCCAGATCAAATTCTACCTCATGTCTGAGAAACTCCCTACCCTTATGAATGTCTAGGTCCTGTGGCCCTGTGTGCACTGTGTTACATATACATGCACCATATACACACAAGCACACCATATACACACATGCAACATATGTGCACATACGCAATATACTTTCTACACATCAACCTTTTTACTAGACACTAGACGCTTCTCTTAGTTCTCCCATCAACTCTCGCAGCTAGATATTACCACCTAAGAGGAAACATGACCAGAGGTTAAGTATTATGCCCAAGGTTACACCACAGCCAATATTCACATTCAGGTAGCCAGACTCCAAATTTCATACTTTGTGAATGATTTTAAAAACCGGTTTATACAATTTTACTGCCTTTAATTGCTTCTTTCATAATTTCTTTCCCTATCTTAAGGGTTCTATCTGAGGCCCACTTTCTCCTTATTTGGTTTTTTTTTTTTTTTTTTTTTTTTTTACAGTGTTTGCTGGCGAATCAGCTTTCTGTAAGGAGAAACAGAAACCAAAAACAGAAAGACGGCCCAAACACGGCACATTTCAGGGAGTCACAGCTGTCCCGCGCAAACTCGACTCTTACCTGTTGTGCTACTCCTCAAAGGCGCCCTTGCAGTTACTCAGCTGCATGGTTGAGGCTGGCGGGAGATTCAGCAGGCTCCGAGGCACAGCGAGTGGAATCGCTCAGCTCCAGTGAACCTGAAGTTGTTCATTGCGGAGCCGGTGCCGGGTGGAAGAATTCAAGGAATGCAGCCTGATGCCACCTGGCGCCCAGAGACCGGTCACGGTGGACAGGTGCACCCTCACCCAGCGGGATTACCTCCCAGTGCAATGCTCTGGTTTCCTTGGGTGAAACACAAAGCCTGCCCAGTAAAGTAGAGTTGTTTTTAACAGAGAAAACAGAACTCCTGTGTTCGTGAAAATCGATACTTTTCCCAGGGAAGAATGGGGGGGCGGGGCGAGGCCACGCAGGAAACAATTTTCAACAGGAACTCGAGCCAGGTGAACGGAATGGCTGTAGGGAGCCACCGCTCCGAGCCCCAGGGGAGAGAAGAGAACTGCAGCTTCATTAACACTTCCCTCTCCCTGAGATTTCACACACGTTTTGGAAACTGAGTGTTCCTCCAAGTAAGGGTCACCTCCTAAGAAAGTATCCCTTTGCTCTGCTTCTTAGAGAATATTGTTGAAAGTTAAAGTATGCGGGAAATTGCTAAGAAACAGAACAAACTTCACAACATACATACTCTCTTTTTTTCGTTATTTGCTGGAAAGCTTTTCATAAAAATCCACGTGGACCGATATACTGGATTTGTACTTTTAAATATTGCAGCAACACTCAGGAAAAATTTATCCTGTTAATCTACTGACACTCCGATGGAGAAAAAGGCACTGGAAACTTCTTTATTCTTTTTTTTTTTTTTTGAGACGGAGTCTCGCTCTGTCGCCCAGGCTAGAGTGCAGTGGCCGGATCTCAGCTCACTGCAAGCTCCGCTTCCTGGGTTCACGCCCATTCTCCTGCTCCTCCCGAATAGCTGGGTAACAGGCGCCGCCACCACGCCGGGCTCATTTTTTTGTTTTTTTTAAGTAGAGACGGGGTTTCACCGTGTTAGCCAGGATGGTCTCGATCTCCTGACCTCGTAATCCGCCCATCTCGGCCTCCAAAGTGCTGGCGATTACAGGCTGAGCCACGCGCCCGGCCCCTTTATTCTTTAGTTAACAGTGCACTTTAAAAAGCAAGGTTTTTAAAACTGCATTCTTCTCGACCCGTAAATCATCTGTTCCTGTGGTAGATTTATAGCTATCAAATCATCTCTCTTCTGGCAATGCGTACAGGCAGCTATCCTGCAGATAATCTCATCTTTGTGCTCACTGAAAGAGTGTGATGTGTCTACTCAAAGGGTGTGGTCAGGGTGGCCACAGTTAAAACAGGTCATGTGTTCCAGGAGAACGACCTCATAAATCTGCCTAGACAGTTGGTGATCAATCATATTTTTATGACATCCACATTTGGAGAACTATCCCCTTGAAGAATCCCTTTATAAAAATCAAGAATCCAGTCATTCATGAGTAGCTGTATTTTTTCATTAGTAGTTTTCTAATTTACAAGATACTAATGAAGACTCCTTTTTTAATGGAATAGATGATAATGCTTTAGCCTTCCCTTTTAATCCTTTATTCCTTATTACTGATTTTTAATCCCTAGATTTTTATACAGTTTTATTTTTTTAAAGGGTGTAGAGTCCTGAATTAGACACTCTATGGGACTCCAGTAAGAAGAGCAGAGTGATAAGAGTATGGGAACCCAGACTCAACTGGGTTCCAAACTCAGCTATGCCATTATCTGCAGTGTAAATGTGGGCAGGTTAATTAGACTCCCTGAGCCTGGAGTTCCTCCTTTGCTCCTGACGATTGTGATATGGGTTGTTGGGAGGTTTAAGGAGATGATGTAAAACATTCAACACAGAACCTGGCATATGACAACCATAGAAGAAGTGTCAGCATTCATATCCTTAGGAGTACTATTATTCCTATAGATGGTCCACCAGTTAACACATCCCCATGCCATACCTTTTAAAAATTAATACACAACTGTACTGTTCACCAAATTGAGTTCACAGAGCTAAACATGTTTAGGTTGTTTCCATTTGTGCCATATTTATACCTTTGTTGTCCTTTCCCTATCTTAGTCATCCTGTCCTTACCTCTGGGTTGTTCACTTTTCATCTGTAAACTTCACTCTCTTGAATGTGTCCCTGTTGATTTTGGTAACCTTATCTTGTTTCCTGGAGAGATAGTTTTACCGTGATCCTACCCCCACCAAGGTTGAACAATAACAGTGAATGTTTTTACAGAGCAGAAATGGGCCAGGATACAATGTATCTCAAACTTTTTGTGGCTGGGTAATCCAAACTCCTGAGTTTTCCATGGAAGTGTAGAAC